CTTTTGTTTTTCTGTACATTGATTCAGAACAATGTCGCAAGCAAGTTTATTATTTGTGATTTCTATGCGCAAGTGATTGACACTTTATCATTTGCATTTTGCAACAGTCTGTTGTGGCTGCTCCAGTGCTATGAATTACACAAATGCCATAGTCAGCTGATTTCATTCCATTCTATTTTGCTTTTGTAAGTTGCAAATGGACATGCCCTCAGAATTATGATATCATTGCTGTTACTTTTGTATTTGAAACTTAAATTCCTAGCGTTATATGTTTGATACATATATGTATGCTATAATATATAATAGTAAGTGCGCTTTAACGGAATTATAGAAAATGTTTCGAAAGAGTGTTGATGCTTGCTTTAAAAGTATGCTTGTATTAACAATTGTTTTGAAATTGTAAGTAAGGTATTTCACATAAAAATAAATATGCAGTTACCAGTCGAAATGCTCGAGCGAGTTAGCGAAAATTGAACTCAACGATTGGACCATCTGAGTCGTAGGCACGGCCAACATTTGAAAGAGATAATCTTAAGAAAAATATATGAAAGAATGTTCTTTGGAATGATAATAAATAGAAGGGTGTGGTGTCCACCAGGACAACACATAACCACTCACTTCGTTGATGACTCGTCGGAAGCTTCTTGAGCTCGGATGGGAGGTTCTATCGCATCCACCATATAGGCCGGACATAGCACCAAGTGATAGCCCCCTATTGCTGTCTGCGGCGAACGCCCTTGTTGGTGTAAAGTTGAACTCAAAAGAGGCTAGTGTAATGTGGCTGCCCGAGTTCCTCGCAAATAAGGAGGATTCTACGAAGTTGGTATTTTGAAGTTGCCGTACAGATGGAAAGAGATTATCGAACGAAACGAGGCATATTTGAACTAAATCCGATCACTGAAACACTTTTTATAAAGCGTTGAATAAAGAGCAAAAAAGCGGAGGTATTTGACAGCCGTTTGAATACGTTGATTTAAATTTTAAAATTCGACAAACATTACTGAGGTCGACTGACATAAACAGCTGCTGTAAACACACTGGTTGAAAGATCGCGGTAATTTTTGACCTAGAAAAAAAAAAAAAAATTTAGCTGTCTTCCATATAAGCGAGGGATGACAGGGAGAAATGCAGAATACCCGATACTTCCTTGAAACAAAGACTTACTTTCGAAATTAAAATTGGTTTTACAAAAACACTTTCCAGCTTGCGATAGACTAAAGTTGAAGCATATAGATTGCCATACTTTTTACGGACGCGGCGAATTGGCTGAAGTAGATATAAGATGGCATAATACTTGTAAGTCTTTGGTTGACTTTAGGCTTTATAAATATGCGACATTATGCAATTATCTGTCCAAGTGAAATTATTCTTGACGTTACGAGAAATTAGCATATTTACTTAGCCTGACACACATAAGAAAATAGTGATATCATATGGTCGCCACTCTCACATTATATTCTTTAAAATCAATAAACAATTTTTTATTGATAACATTATTATACCCGGCATTTTTTCTAATAACATTGTTGTTATGACTAATAATGTGTGACAAGTGATAGGCCAACGAAATTACATAACCAATGACAAATAAGTACATGTGAAAATTTTCAAAGCCATAACTTGAAATTGAAATTATGCTCATAATGTTTCATAAGAGAAATTTATGGAAATTTATTAAATAAATTATTCAACTAACCGAGACAATAATGTGAATGATGGTTGCAGTTGAGCGCCGTCATTGACCATAAATTGTGGCTGGTTCCAAACGATTATAGACAGATCGATGGTAAAATTGGAAAGTAGCGAAACGATGCCATAAGATTACGTTACTTCTAACCGCAAATGGCTGTATGTATCTACTTATAGAAATCGTTGAAAGTTGCCATAGTGGAAGCGAGCACCAAAGCGACTTTCGGCGACCACAAGCGGACAAAGCGCCAAAGCCGTCTGCACTGTGGCTTTTCGCTTGATTCTTTTCGGTATTATTAATATTTGTTATTTTCGAATGGTTGATTGATTAAAACAGATATTTCGTCTGTGCGTAGCACATGTCTTCACAAAGAGTTTCTTGATAAATCCGCCGGTTTCAACTTATGGTATTAGGAAAATGAAGATGGGCGGAATTCAGCTTATGGGCTGAGAAAACAACTTTAGATTAATACTGTTCCATTTATATGTCTGTCTAAGTTCAGATCTCACTGTTATCACCTCTCGTTTTTTGTAAAATATGGTTAGCTTAAACTTTATGTAGTAGTAAGGACAACTCTGCGAACATAAAAAGATACATTAAATGCGTGATTTGTTTCACATTTCCTTTGTTGTGTCGGCAACAAGGCACACTTGATAGCTTTAGTCAAAGAATTGCAACACTCTGAAGCAGTAAAACATTAATCTCCCTTTATTAAGTAGATTTTTATAGCGCTAACAGCTTTGTTCAAGGTTGCTCAAAAACGTTTCAGCGAACCTATTTCTAAAGTTAAATTAAACAATAAATCTAAGCGCCTCCTACTATGCTCTATGTGAATTGCTTTTGGTCTTACTAGAACATGGGAGTGTACGAGTATATTGTCTGACAATTTCTTTAGCTACTTTTATATTCCACTACGCGCTTTCACTCCACTTTTGCTTCGGCTAGGCATGTTTTATTTGTGTGCTTTTAGCGAGGTCAGAAATTTAACGACCAGTCGGCAGCCTCCTCACTCTAAGCCATATCAAGCCACCTTGGCAACGCAATGATGGTATAACACTTGAATCAGATGAGGCGACGCGCGTGCATAAGTGTCCATAAGTGTGCAATATTGAGCTTGAGTTCCAAAGCAATATTTATTTGCCCCACATATAAGTGAAGAGCATACCAGCGGTCACTTTGTGGTATAATATTAAGGCTTTGGGTCAAGGTTTCTAATTAAATAGCAAACTTGCCTAAAACACATATCAAGCGCCGAAAATACATAAGCATTTGATTTGGGGCAATTGATGTCAAGATTTATTTGTATCAAATATTCGTTGAAGAATAATTCGCATAATTTCCCCAAAAGAAATTCTTTCCACTCCGATATGATAATAACCGTATGGAAAGTATTATAAAAGAATTATTAATGATAAAAAAAAAACGCAAATTTCAGTTGCACAGAAGCTTAAAAAACTCTTTACCAATAATGAAGTTTCCATACAAGAACTTGATTTTAATCGTTCAGTTCGTATAGAAGCTATGTGTTGAAGTGATTCGATACCGATTCCAACAAATAAGCGGCTTCTTGGGGAGCAAAAGACGTGAGGAAATTTTCGGGGCGACATCTCAAAACCGGAGAAACAAGTTCGCGTATATCGACGGACAAATTAACCTTTTTCATATAGATCGATTAAAGTAGTGTCAGTGATTTCAGAAAAATTCAAATTTAGTCGAAATTGGTACAAATGTCGCAATAAATTTTTGCATTACTGCTTTCCGTAGCCTTCCTGAAATGGATACAATTCCGGTTATAGCGAACTTCAGCAAATTAGTATCGATATGGTTTTTCTCCATTAAAAAGCGATAATACTATATATCAAACCAGCAAATTAATTTTTATGCTCATGCGACCTGTTGCAACAACTCTTGTAGGCAACAACTAAACCTATTAACTGTCTATCTGCCGTGAAGGCGATAAGTTCAATAAAAATGTATATATACTTGGCACACAAGTGTCCCTTGGCTGAAATCCTAAACCTCAAGAACTACCCGAAAAAATTCAGCAAAATTCGGTGCATTATCTAAACATCCCTCACTTACAATGTAGAAACGGGCAAAAATCGCGCCTCTTTCTCATAAACAATAAATCGTTGAGATTTCGTAGCTTTACAGTACATAGTATTACCGTCTATGAACACCGCGGCTGGCTCGAACACATTTCAGTCGAGGAGTCCAATTTTCGATCACTTTTTACAGCAATGGGTGCCGTAAGTCAGCAATAATATGCTTAATATTCTCTTCCGTCAATCGTCTTATCTGCGGAGGCAAGCAACTTCACATAATCGTACATAAAATAGTCTAGCGGTTTTTTAGCGTATGATTTTAGAAGCCAGACGACAAGCCCTAGAGTGGAGCTAATGTACTCACAAAAATGCTTCTTTAATAAATTGTGTGTTTTATTGGCTTTATCGCAAGTGGGGGTCATTTATTGGAATCAAAGGTCACCCACATTAATATTCTGATATTCAGGCATAAAAAGGTTTCAAATTCTGACTCTGCAGCTTAACATTATGGCCGACTTAATTTTTTGAAAATATATGAACCAATGATTTCTCTTACCCCAACGAGCACACTCTTTGAGAATCTAGTGGCGTTTTAACAATGGCTTGTGGATTGTATCACTTCAAATATGAGGCAGACTCGTAGTGCAAAAAATTATGACGGTCCTTTTACGATACCACTTTAACTTTTTTGTGATTATTTAAACTTAATAGGAATTACAGTTAGAAATAAAATTCATATTTTACTGATTTAGGAAAAGTCGTTTCCGGCTGGGTAATTCGTACACAGAAGCCACTCCCACGTTCACATATAGACATAAGTGTGATGTCACTGATGATGGCTGTTGACTCATTGGCGACTATAAGCTCTCAGAAATGGCACCATTCAGTCTTTGCGGCGCCAATAACTTCACTTCATTCATTTAAAATGGATTTTGCACGTTGCATTAGCAGGAGTACTCAAAACAAAAACTCTACGTAGCTCAGTTCGTATTGCATTATCTGAAAGATAGAGCGTGGAAGCTAATTTATATTATATTTAGAAAATTTACGAAGTAATATCAAAACTAAAACTAAAACTATATATGAAGGAAAATTTTTTCTATGGAACAGCAAAATCGGAAAGAATTTTCAGATCCACAACTGATTAGTATTGTAAATACTTTGTTAAAAGTAAATAACTGAAGAATTGAGTAACATAATTTCTGAACTGAATTTAATATTTGCAAATAATCTAACTTTTGATTTTATTATATTTTCCATTGCAGGTTCCACCGACTCAAGTCCTCACTTGGCAATCTAATTCACCAGCACACTAGTTATATTTTAGTAGTTAAAACTGCAAGTATTTTATACAACTTGGATGACGACTGAACGACCGTGGCGATAAACTTTGCGAAATGCGGGAAAGCTATGAAGTTATAAAAGGGAGACGGTAAACCAAACTGACATTGCTGACAAGCAATTGTAAACATTACAGGCTCACCGACAAGTGAGAAATATGATCGCGCAGGGACATTGACTGGCGTCATATCCTTAAAGCAAACAAAGCTACAGAAAGCAACACAAGATTTCTGCTTGGAGCTAATGCCAAACACATATTTACGGTAGAGAACGAGAAATCGCTTTCGAAGCGCTCAAAATATTTTTTTTTTTTGTTTTGGCGGACTAAGAGTGCGAAGTCTATTAAGTCGTAGTTGAAGGATTCCAGTGCTTTATATTAGAAATGTATAAAAAAGCACCCATTACTATAAAATTGATACCTGAAATTTGAAGCAACAGTTGCCACTTAATGTATTTGGCTACTAATTACATTGATAATAGTTAAGAATAATTAAAAGTTATGAATAATTCGCAAAAAATTGTTTAATCATTTTAGCTCAAAAGAATTGTAGGCTAGGCTGCACATTTTTCTAGGTTATTGAATTTCTTTCACAAGTTTGTAACAATCAGAATTTCTCCATTTTCACCACAATATTGCGAATGGCATAGCTTTGTCTTTAGTGGAAATTGTTAAGCACGGAATCTTTGATATCAAACAATAAAACATATTATAAGTAAACGAAAATGTACACTATATTTAACCATCGCAATGTTTAGGTGAGTAACGAAAGTCGAGATAGATTACAAACCGAACTGGAAAATGGATATCGGCCAACGAATTCAAAAAGTTTATGTGGCATATTATACGAGTATGTGCAAGAGCAGCTACTGCAGTTTAAACCTTCATATATGGGCGGTTAAGTCCCTCAAAAGTGTATATTTTGAACTTGGTAAAAATTTGTTTGTTCCACAAATTCAAT